TCCTGGCCCAGATGCAGCAAAACAGGCCCAAACCATGATACCAGCACCACCGTGTTTCACTGATGGGATAAGGTTCTTATGCTGGAATGCAGTGTTTTCTTTCTCCAAACATAACGCTGCTCATTTAAACCAAAATATTCTATTTTGGTCTCATCCATCCACAAAACATGGATGTCTTGTCAAAGTCTTGTCCACATGATCTTTAGCAAACTGCAGATGGGCAGCGATGTTCTTTTTGGAGAGCAGTGGCTTTCTTCTTGCGACTCTGCCATGCACACCATGGTTGTTCAGTGTTCTCCTGATGATGTACTCATAAATATTAACATTAGCCAATGCGAGAAAGGCCTTTAGTTACTTAGAAGTTAGCCTGCAGTTCTTTGAAACCTAGTGGACTTTTACACATCTTGCTTTTAGAGTGTTCTTTGTTGGTGGACCACTCTTGGGGAGGGTAACAGTGGTCTTGAATTTCCTCCATTTGTACACAGTCTGTCTGACTGTGGATTGGTGGAATCCAAACTCTTTAGAGATGGCTTTGAAAGCTTTTCTAGCCTGATGAACAGCATCAACTCTTTTTCTGAGGTCCTCCGAGATCTCATTTGTTTGTGCCATGATACACTTCCACAAACATGACCAAACTTTGATAGATCCCTGTTCTTTTATATAAAACAGGGCACACACTGACACCTGATAGTCATCTCACTGATTAAAAACACCTCTGAACAGATGGACTCTAATTTCACCTTCAAATTAACAGCTAATCTTAGAGATTCACATACTTTTGCTGCTCACAGATATGTAGTATTGGATCATTTTCCTGAATAAATAAATGACAAAGAACATATTTTCATCTCATTTGTTTGATTGGGATCTCTTTGTCAACTTTCAGGAATTTTTTGGGTCATATTTATGCAGAAATATAGACGGTTCTAAAGGGTTCACAAACTTTCAAGCAGCACTGTATAAGAGGTCACTGTACTATTAAAAACCTGTAAATCCTGTAAGTTTCAGAACTCAAAACTTTCTCGTTAGTCTAAAAACAGCTTATATCGAAGCCAGTCTACCAAAACGACTGTACCTCTTTATGATGTAAAAGTGTGGCTAAACACCACCTCTGCAGAAGATCATCAATGTCTGCTTCTACATCACTGCCTGTTTAGCCCCACCCACTGATTAATGCATGTAGTGTTTGCAAGAGAGAAACGCAGAAACCAAATCATAAAGATGCTCCGAAGATATCAAGACGCAGTGCAGTGCCGTGCCGAGGTGTGGAAAAAACAGTGGAATAAATTTTACTATGCTACTACTGTAGAAATGTAGCAAATTGCGGCCTTATTGAGTTTTGTATTATATTTGGATTTGAACTTCAGTTTAACCAGTTTGAAAAAAGTGTGTAAACATGCAAATTGGTCTTTAGGTACTTGGTTACAGTAAAATGGTTGTCATTGTGCCTCAGTGAGAAAACAATTCATGTAATTTGAAAGATGCAGTCATTCAATGTACTTTGTGCCAATGCAATAGAAAATTATTTATATGGCCTACAAAGACTGCACTTGTGTTCACTCACTGTAAAGAGTTTTGAAAAGTGATCTAAGTATTACGAAATGGATCCTAGTGATTTAATTCTTAAATGTGTCTTGTTTTTAAAGATATCTTTTACAGAACAAGAGAGAATATGACCCCACCAGATCTGTGCCCTATACTGTACATTTATATGCATGCAAACTTTGGAGAGTGGAACATGGAGCTCTCTGTCTAATTCTTATTGCAAAAAAGGTGTTTGACCAATGGATGGAGGACATAAACATCTCAGATTGACCTTATGGTTCAATACAAAGAACATAGACTCCAGCTGCTTGTTTTAAAATATTATAGGAAAGTGGTGTGTATGGTGTATCTGTTTTGTCTAGCACACCTGATTCAATCTCTCAGCTCATTAGCAGAATACTCGGTGAACTTGTTTCATCCTCCACAAAAATGATGGAAAAGCCTTGTTTCTTGAACACTGCATACATGAAATCTATGTTTTCAATCTCTTTCCTCCATCCGGACTTCAACCTGTTCCTAAAGCTAAAGTTTAAAATCCCCAGACAGCCAACCCTGAGATGAGAGCTCTGCAGGGTGAGAGAGAGGGAGGAAGTGAGAGAGAACAAAGAGAAAAGAGTGGCCGAGAGGAGTATAAAAATGGCTTCTTCGTAGAAACCTCATGTTTGTGTGTGCAGTTTTAGGGGTTGATTTAGAGGTGTATTATGCTGTTAGATGATGAGAGAGATGCAGTCTTCAAAGATCTTGCATCTAGAGTGCTGTGATGCATTCTATCCCTCATGCTAAAGATGCGTGTGAATAATATGTCATTTCGCTTCTTTTCTTTTCTCCGTAGAAGTCACTTAATGCACAGGTGGTCCTCTGCATGCCGCACCGATTTTGAAATGACTGCAAATGAGATTTTCTTGATTAGTAATTTAAGGTTTTCACAGGAGCAAATGGGCAGTAATAGCAGGCTGTGAGGCAGATTTCGCCAGATTAATTGATCTCTCAACTGTTCCTCCCTGAAACGTTCTGGAAGACTCCAACTGCAGTCTTCCTTTCAGTCCTGCCGGCATCAACCGCAGTTACAGTACAAGGCCTAATCAGATGAAGACGTATTTATCGGCCTCTCTGGATTGCCAGATTCTTCCGATGGGAGTCGGAGTAATCCTGGCTGCAGTCTCTCTGAAAAGTATATTAATATTCTGACTAATTCCCCCCAGTGTCTCCTTATCCCCCAGCCCTGCTGGCACTGTCTCTTTGAATTGACCCAAACTCTACATAACAAATGATGGCTCGGAATGAATGTCCCCTTCATTTGTGCTGCCGTAATGTGCTGATGAAAAATGAAGTGCCCTATTCAGCCTGATTATACATTAGTAAAGAGAAATCACAGTGGAGAGAGAGGAAGTTTAACAGCTGGGCACAGTGATGGATAAAGCTGTGTTACCTTTTTTTTACTGGTTTTTTTTTTTTACTGGTTTTTTTTTTTGTATTCATTTTTTACTTCATAATATTGATGAAGACGAGAAATTTGCAATAATATTAATTAGCTTAATTATACATGCAGTGGTATTTTATGTCAGACAGCTAGAATAACAGGTGTGAAAAGGTGTTCATCAAAGACGCGTAAACAGCAAGTTACAGTAAGTGTTTGTGGAGGCACCTGCTGTTGCTGTGGGCTGTTGATAGTAACACTGTATCTGTTTTTATCTTTGTCTTTCTCTCATTTCTTCTAGTCAAGTGCACCATTCTGAATTATCAGAGCCCTACCACTGGTCTGTTCCCAGTGAAGACCTGTTCCACCTGTAAGGAAGCTAAAGTCAGAGACTCCCTCTACTGCGCTGCCAGTATCTGGGCACTGGCACTGGCATACAGGTAGTACTGAGTAGTAATGTATGTGCAATACCTTTCTATAAATTGTTTCTTTTCTAGTTTACATGATCAAGATAATAATCAATATGACCAAGTGCTACATATATATCAAGTGCTATATACTGTATATTTAGAGATTATTAATAATTAAGAAGTTTATCTAAAAAAAAATCCAAAAGATAAGTGTGATGTGCATGGTGTGCATATGCAACACGGCAAAAACAGCACAGAGGCCCCATATGCAGTGGTGTACTGTATATACCATCTGTGGTGTCTGGGAAAAACAAAATGAGTTTAACAGCCAAGGAAAAAAGGCTGAACAAACTATTTTACATCATCTTAAAGCATATCTGTTAGTGAGCTATTTTAGTGAGCAAGAGGAATCTGTATTGTCAGATGAGTTGTATTATGCACAAAAACATGTGAACATTTATTTATACTGGTTGTTGTGTCACTTGGTGTGAACAGACCTTATGTCTATGATTTTTGCCTAAATAAGCAGTATTGTGGTATGACTTGGTAGAATAGGCCTCTTTAAATGAAACCTTGAAAATGAATGTTTCATTATCGTGGGGAAAAATTAAATATGCGGTTTACATACACTAATATTCAAAAGGTTTTGGTATGTTTCTTTTTTTTTTAAAGAAATTAATACTTTTATTCAGCATTGATCAAAAGTGAGAGTAAAGAAATTTATGTTGCAACAGATTTCTATTTCAAATCAATCAATTTCAAATAAATGCTGTTTTTTTTAAAGGAACGCGCCACTATTTTTTGAAAATAGGCTCATTTTTCAACTCCCCTAGAGTTAAACAGTTGAGTTTTACTGTTTTCGATTCATTCAGCCGATCTCCGGGTCTGACGGTAGCACTTTTAGCTGTAGCTTAGCATAGATAATTGAATCTGATTAGACCATTAGCATCTCGCTCAAAAATGACTAAAGAGTTTCTATATTTTTCCTATTTAAAACTTGACTCTTCTGTAGTTACATCGTGTACTAAGACCGACGGAAAATGAAAAGTTGCTATTTTCTAGGCCGATATGGCTAGGAACTATACTCTCATTCCGATCGGCTGAATGGATTCGAAAACCGTAAAACTCAACTGTTTAACTCTAGGGGAGTTGGAAAATGAGCCTATTTTCAAAAATAGTGGCGTGTTCCTTTAACTTTCTGTTCATCAGAGATTCCTGCAAATAGTGCATTACAGTTTCTATCCTTAAATATTAAACAGCACAACTGTTTCCGACATTGATAATAATAAAAATATTAAAATTATTTCTGAAGAATTATGTGATGCTGAAGACAGGAGTGAAGGCTGCTGAATGGCAGCTGTGCCATCACAGGAATAAATTAGCACAAATTTAAAATGTAAAAAATCTAAATGTATTTAAACAGAAAATAGTTATTTTAAATTAATGTAATATTTCATAATTATGCTTTTTTTTTACTGTATTTTTTATCAAATAAAAGCAGCCTTGATAAGTGTAAAAGACTTTTCCCCCCTACAAACATTGAAATAATCCATTAAAGGGTAGTGTAAGTATTCACTCTTTTGATAGATTTATATCAGTGGCAGCTTTAATCACATTGAGGTAAGCATGTTTACCCACTGATCAAGAGCAATTTGGCCCATTGATCCAGGTACATTTGTTCCAGTGCTCAAAATAGTGGACTGCTGTTTTACACTGCAGTCTCCAAAGCTCAGGTAAGTCAAAATTAGACTGAACTTAATGTCCAGGGATGTACTGGATACCGGATAGCTTAAAGGTTATATGTTCAAACTCTGCAAGGGGGAATTGACAAACTCTCACCTTTATGCCCTTGAACAAGATATTGGAGCTAAAGCCCAGGTTCCTCTTGGGGGATTGTCCAAAGTCACTTTGAGTCCAAGATGTTATGACCAAACACCGCCCTGCTTGCTCTTTAACTGGGCTGTTGTAGAGCATTTATCTTGTTCTTTAGCTGCTTCAGTGATTTGGCTTTGTGTTCTGAATCATTTTCCTTCCTAAAAATGAACTTTTTCCCAAGAGGTTCACTTGCAGTATTTCCTTGTGTTTTGCACCGTCTTTCCGTCTTTCATTTGAAGGCAGATTTCCCTCCAAAAATAAGAATAAGATCTGTCATCATTTATTCAGCCTCATGTCATTCCAAACCTCTGTGACTTCTGTTGAACGCAAAATAAGATGCTTTGAAGAAAGCATTTTGTGACAAGGACAAAAAATCTTCATAAAACACAATAAAAGTCATTTTTGTTCAGGCGGGAGGTTTTGATGCATGACCGTTTCTAGGCAGTGTCTGATTGGTTTGGTATTGCTCTTTCCCTTCGTAATAATTGAACCAACACTGACTGGGACAACTAAACACTTGAATGTTGTTTTGTAGGTTTATTTTCCTTATTCATATCTCTAACAGCCATGGTTGTTTGTCATTCATAATAATAATTAACAGTTGAACTGAGAATGCCATTTAAATTCCAATTCAGTTCTGAATTGATTTGAGGTAGCACACAGGATGCAGAATTTTAATGTAATTTTTAACTAGAAAGGCAAAGTTTAAATGTTCTAGAAAAAAATATTGACGTATAAAGATTTATTGTCCTTTTATATTTTCACAATTTCACAATATCTTCACTGAATTTCGGTATTCTGTAAAAAGGGAATTATAGATATTCTAAACACATATAATATATCTATCCTATGCACAAACACCCACACTCCTCCCTTCTTTCTAAAGCAGGTCACCAGCACTCTGGGGGCCCGGGTCAAGGTTACAAGATTTATAGGAGGGCACCCAAGAAAGAGACTTTCCATTGAACTCCTAAGACAAAGTGTTATTTTTTCCCTTCTCACTCCTCCTGGAGAGGGTTGTTCCTCTAGAGGACGAATGTGAGGATAAAAATAGAGAGCAGGCGTATATCAGAGACGGGCGTAGTCATCAGTCTTCACCTGTGCATATTAGCATTGTCAGAGGAGTTTAATTAAGATGATTCCAATTTGACAGCAAGGCCTGAATCCATTTTTTATTCTCTATTTGTCTCTGTAAGAGTATAAGTGGGTGGTGTTTGCACATGCATGCTCTACATGAGCTTTCTCGCTATGTGTTAAAGGTTTGTCTCATTTGCTTGTTTGCTTTTTTATGACTGTGATAGTTTCAACACTTAACTTAGTAGATGGTAATGGCATGCTGCAGATCTTTGCTATTTAAAATATGCATTTTCAACATAATGAAGTGTTTTCCAGGAACTCATGCAGAATGTTTGTCGCACAGGCACATTGACGATGACATGGGCCACACTCATGAACTGGAGCACTCTGCTATCAAGTGCATGCGGGGGATTATGTACTGCTACATGCGGCAGTCTGATAAGGTGGGTCACAGCGTCACACCATAGGACAGAACGCAGCAGTGCTGCATGCATCAATTTTGCCTTTTGAAAACTCGAGCAACCTGCTGAAGATCGCTTTATTCACCCCTGATGAGCGGTTTCATACTACAAAACAACCTTACGGTTCTCTTGATCATTTTTGGTACTGTTCTTTTAAGGTTAAGGTTACGCTTATGCAGCAGCTTGCAGGTCAAACGTCCTTGTGCAGAGTTGGCGCAAGTTTGGCAAGATTGCATAGTTTGCATTTAGCACTGCATGTAATTTTGTTGTCTATTGTGACCCCTAAACTTGTTCACATTGGTTGATTGACTAACTTTGCCATGTATTTCTTTATGTAGATTTCTACTGTACCTCAGATTTGTTTTCAAAGAAAATGTACACGCATCCCATACTTTTCACATTTTCTCCAGTTCACCACACTTTCAGGTAACACTGGGTTTTCTGTTCTGTTCTGGGGTTTACTGTAAATCTCAGAAAGAGCTCTACACATGGCATGAGGCTTTTTTATGGCCCCACTCACTGTTTCATGGCTCAACAGTAAGGATTTTTTCCCCCTTCAAGCCTGGCAGGACAGTAGTTCCAATTTTTACTTACCCTACCATTATAACTAGCTCCACCATAAAATAGTGATTTTATTTAGCAATGCATTTTTATATTTACTAGAAATAATATTTATGTTTTTCATGAAATGTTATAGAGTTAGTTTAACCAGAAATGAAAATTGTCATCATTTAATCAGCCTTTTTAATCAAACTTTTGTTTGTCTTTGAAAAACTAATTAACATATTTGTGATGAAACCTGAGAGATTTCTTTAAAAAAGAAAAAAAAAATCCATTGGAAGTCCACACAAACAAAAATTTGATCAAAGCACATGTCAGAGTACACTGGTTCTCGTACCTCAAGCAAGCGTGTTTGATGTTCTCTATGCATGTGTGTTTATAATAGTGCTGTCAAATGATTCATCACGATTAATCACATCCAAAATATAAGTTTTTGTTTACATAATATATGTGTGTGTGCTGTGTATATTTATTATGTATATACAAATACACACACATACAATATATATTTTGAAAATATTTACATGTATATATTTATATTCATATAATTTATATATAAATATATTTAATATATAAACATAACATATTTTTCTTAAATATACAGTGCCATGAAAAGGTTTTTTTAAAATGTTTTGCATATTTGCCACACTTAAAAGATTCAGATCATCAAACAAATTTTAATTAAAAAAGGGCCAGTGGTGGCAGTTTGGCCACTGTGATTGTGAACTGTGATTAACCACATTATTTTAGAAAGCTGAGTTAAATTTCACTGAATGATGCATTTATATAGCACTTTATTGTGTTTTGCTGTACACCCAAAGCGCTTTACAATCATGTGTGGGGGTCTCTCCTCAACCACCACCAGTGTGCAGCATCCACCTGGATGATGCGACGAAATCTTGATTATCCCCAAGACTTTTGGGCAAATATGCTGTGGACTTTTTGGAAGGTGTGTGTCCCGTTGCATCTGGCGAAAACCAGCACAGCATTTCCTAAAAAGCACATCATACCAACAGTCAAACATGGTGGTGGGAGTGTAATGGTCTGGGGCTGCTTTGCAGCTTCAGGACCTGCATGACTTGCCATAATTGATGGAACCATGAATTCTGCACTCCATCAGAAAATTCTGAAGGAGAATGTCCGGTCGTCAGTTTGTGACCTCAAGCTCAAGCGCATTTGGGTTATGCAGCAGGTCAATGATCCCAAACACATCAGCAAGTCCACATCTGAATGGCTCAAGAAAAACAAAATTAAGGTTTTGGAGTGGCCAAGTCAAAGTCCGGACTTAAATCCGGTTGAGATGCTGTGGCATGACCTTGAACAGTCCATTCATGCTCGAAAACCCTCCAATGTGGCTGAACTAAAATAATTCTGCAAAGAAGAGTGGGCCAAAATTCCTCCACAGCGATGTAAAAGACTCATTGCCATTTAACGCAAATGCTTGATTGCAGTTGTTGCTGCAAAGGGTGGCACAACCAGTTATTAGATTGAGGGGGCAATTACTTTTTCACGTAGTGCCAGGCAGGTTTGGACCGCTTTTTTCCCTTAATAAATGAAATCATTATTTCAAAACTGCATTTTGCATTTACTCGGGTTATATTTGTGTGATATTAAAATTTGTTTGATGATCTGAATCATTCAAGTGTGACAAATATGCAAAAACAAAAAAGCAGGAAGGGGGCAAAAACTTTTTCACACTACTGCATACATGCATGTATATTTATATATACATAATAAATATATGCAGTACACAGACATATATATATATATATGTTATGTAAACAAACACTTATTTTGGATGAGATTAATCGTTTGACAGCACTAGTTGATAAATGTTTATATGTGATGACAAGTCTACGTTAAGTCTGTTCATCATATAAAGTGATCGTAAGACCTTTCTTAAACCACTCAACTGCTAACGCAAGTATTATGCATTTACTTGCGTTATATGAACTTTTTGAATCGGAAAAGTTGTGGTGTAATTGACTTCTAAATTGAGGAACAGAAATCTTTCAGGTTTCATTACAAATATCTTCATGTGTTTCGAAGATGAACAGAATTCTTATGGGTTTTGAATGACACCGGAGTATGTAATTAATGAAGGAATGTTTATTTTTGGATGAACTGCTTTCAAGTTTTCTTTATAAACTGGAAATCAAATAGCTGATATTGTCTTGTTTTGCTAATTCCGCCTGTGATAAGTCTATGTCCATCCCTCAACTCACACTGGATTGTGGCAGCTATGTCTGTGACACACCGCAGACAGTAAAAAGTTGGTTTTGACTGCAGATGTGTGAACTCAACAAAGTGGATGGTGCTTGGGCATTATTTAAAGGGTTGTCTGTGGGGTTGCATTTGAGTGGCTGCCAGTTGAGCTTTTCTGTGGTTTTAACAGTTGGATGTTGCTGTAATCAGGGTTTTGACAACGTTCCCATGGCGAGCTGCCTGGAGTTGCTGCGGTCATTTGCTTAGTTGTTGGGCTTCCTATTTTGGTCCTGCTGGTAATGTGTGTGTGTGTGTGTGTGTGTGTGTGTGTTTTTTTTTTTTGTTTTTTTTACCACCAACTGAAAGGAAATTAAGTAATGCACAGTTAAGTAATGCACAGTAGCATTTCTAGTCTTTCATACTGAGGCACAGGACCCCCATCAAAAAGTGTACCCATATTGATAGTGTTAATTATGATATGTTTTATATGATATATGGATAAAAACTTTACTTTTAGTATAAAGTTTGTTGCACTTTCACAAACAGCACATTGCAATAGAGAGCAGTTTTGTCACTGACACATGGACAGTAGTGTATACTGTAGGTAAATTTCACCTCATCCAGCGTTGTCTTATAAAGTATCCTGTTATGGTGTGAGAAACTGCTACAAATGACACATTGTGTGTGTGTGTGAACTTGAATGAATCAATCTGAATCGCAACCAATCTTAGAACTTTTTGTAAACTAATTTGACCAATTAAATCAGTAGTGATTCATCTGCTAATACTGATTCTAAACGGCTAATAGAAAACACACAACATGATCTCTGAAATATTGTCAGGGAAAATGATTCTCAGACCCGTATATGGTAATCTAAATTTACTGCTAATATTTTGAGAAAAAGTGGCATCTCACTATAAATAAATATAATAAATAATAATAATCAATAAAAAAAAAAAGAATAATAATTTCCATAAAAAAAGATTACATTTTAAATTAAATATATAAAAATAGAAAAAGTTATTTGAAATTGTAATAATATTTGACAATATTACTCTTTCTACTCTATTTTTGCTCAGCATAAAGGGCTTATTTCAAAACCATTTAAAAAGTCTGACTGCATCCAAAACTTTTTAACTAGTAGTATTGTTCCATGAGATTGTTATTTTACAGTTCAGTCACATGATGCCTTGTTTATCACTTTCTGGAAACATATACATTATGCTCATTTGCTAATCATTTTGATCTAAAAATGCTTTTAACATGCAGATCATGGCCGCTTTTCCACTATTAATGAATTGGATGCATTGGAAGTTACCTTTTTTATGGAAGAAAAATAATGTCTTTGAAACAAAAAAAAAAACGTTGAATAGCACTAACTGAAAAAATAATGCATTGCATTAACAGTGCTTGCATTTTAATGCCTTTTATTTCAAGGGCTTGGATTTTTAGGTCCTGAAATTTAACATAGTTGTTTATTTAAGCTGTGAATATTTCAATTCAAAATATTTCACACACATTTTCATAATTAAAAATTCAATAATTCATATTCACCTTCCAGAATTCACTTCCAAAATATTCAATCTGTTTAAAAATACGATGTATAATATTCGACAGGCAAATTTCGGTCCATTTTATTTGACTTTCCAAATTCACTTCCACAAATTCAGTGGTTAAAAAATTCGACAGAAAATTTGCCTTTGCACATCCGGGAGCTGCAGGAATAGCAGTAGAGCACCGATGCACGATCTCCAGCTGCTGTCAGTCGCTCACCAGCAGGTGGCACAAGCGGCTGTTGATGAAGACCAAAGCAACAGGTGGATTAAGTCATTCATTCACAAAAACCGATCTGCAGAAATGAAGCAAGCTTTAAGTAGAAGTTTTGATTATCGGGGCCAGTATAAACATGTGGAAAAGCTGATTGTGTGTATGTTTAATTCAACATCTTCGCTGCCTACATGTAAGCAGCTTTCTCTACCACAAAGGAGATTATAATGCTGTTTTACCTGATGCTGATGTACAGAACTAACATTACAACTTAAATGATTTTAGCAAATGGCTGCAATATAACAAAGAGTGAAAAATTTAAGGGGGTCTGAATACTTTCCGTACCCACTGTATATACAGGCAAGCAAATGAGGTCAGAAGAACGCAACGCGCTCCATTTTCTTTATAATTTCTTACCCTTACCACTGATCTATTGAGTCTACTGTCAT